TTACGACAGACCAGGGCGTTCAGTTCGAAGCCCAGCTCTTTGCAGCTCTGCTCCAGCTGATCGGTTGCAAACGCATCCGCACAACGGCATACCACCCTGCCTCTAATGGCATGGTTGAACGCTGGCACCGCACCTTCAAGGCAGCGATTATGTGCCATAACGCACCAAATTGGTTGGACGTCCTTCCGACGGTCCTTCTAGGTCTGCGTACGCATGTACGTCTTGATACGAAGGCTTCTCCGGCCGAGTTTCTGTACGGCACTGTACTGCGAATCCCGGGGGAATTTTTCCTCCAAGAGGACTTCACCCCGGATCCTCAGATATTCGTTGACGACTTCCGACAGCACATGCGCCAAGTGAAGCCGGTACCGGTCGCGCACCACTACAAAAGGCGCGCATTCAGGTTCAAGGAACTGTCGGCCTGCACGCACGTTTTCCTTCGTAAGGATTGCGTGAAGAAGCCCTTAGAGCGACCATATATACCGGTCCCTACAGAGTGCTCGAGCGTGCCACCGACCAAGTTTATTCTATCGAGGTCAACGGCAGACCCATGTCTGTTTCCGTCGAGCGTCTCAAACCCGCGCATTTCGTCCCGGACGACGTTCCGATTTCCGACGTTCCGCCCACGACCGACCAAACGACCAAGCCGTCCACATCGTCAAGCCTTCCGCAAGGCTCGCTTAAAACCTACGCGGGACCAAAAAAACGCGTCCGAATAGTGCAATAGCGACCTTTGCGAGCACTCGTGCGCTAGTCTGAAATGCAGGCACACGCACGCAACGCGTCCTCGGTTCAAACATGTACAAATTTTAGTAATAGCGTTAAAATTTTCCTTTTTGGTTTTCTTTTTCTAGGTCTTAGTTTTAAGCATTACCATTATATTATTTTCGTTGGCGTTAAGCCGGGTGATACATCCTGCGTACACCTGTGATATAAGCAGTATTACAGTATTTTCGTTGACATTAAGCAGCGTGATACACCCTGCGTACTCCTGTGATATTAAGCAGTGATAGTTATACTAGCGTAAGCCACTTGGCATCCTGCGCATTTTTAGCACCTAAGCAACAAAATTGTGAATCTGCGTGTAACGCGAATTCTGTTCTCTCCATCGTTAACACTCGGGGGGAGTATGTGGCGACTAACGAGTTTCCCCTCTAGACTGTATGTGGTCTGAGGCCGTTGGCGGCGCTAGCGAAGATGACCACTCTCGTTTGTAGACTCGTGCTGAGTAGTCGTGTGTCGTAGCGTATGAGATCCACCATCTTGGTCTCGTGCGCTTGTGTTCAATAAAGTTCCTGTTTTGTTACTGAAAACGAATTGTGAGATACTTGTCACCGCCCTAACGAGAACCTTGATCCTTGGCGTAGAAGTACGTGGGAGCTTAGCCAGAGATCTTATTGAGAGATTACCGACCAAATCCCCATAAAGTTTTCTCAGTCGTTTCTCTACTACGGCTACAATTGCATCCACGTCATCGCCTTGAGGAGGATCAGGCAAAGTTATCGGTGGTTGTAAGCTTCTTTGGCAAAAAGCATCAGCAATTCTATCGATTGCTGTAGAAGTAGAATCTTTCTTTCAACTTTTGTCATATTTTGTATTACATTCTAAAAAGAAAGTATTGTTTAATATAAAATATATGATATAATAAAGGTATGTATATATATATAGAGGATAAAAAACACACTTTGTTGTTTAATTTGTTCCACATCTTCACAAGTGTCAGTCGATTCTTCATTACAATCGGTGCTAACTGATACATTCAACTTGGTTCTGTTAACAGTTAAAGTTTTAATAATACAATGTTTAACATATATTTATGTATGTGTATATAAATATGTATATAATAGGCCTTAATAGGCCTTAATAGGCCTTGCGGATCCACTCGCTAGCGTTTCGGCACTGATAATTCTTCTATACGTATCGTGCAGCGATTTGAATTTGACTTTTGCTTCAATGTCTGACAGTTTACCTAGAATTTATCATAATTAACATAAACATATTGTATTATATTAATAAAATCTCCGTTATTATTGACTGAATATTTCAATTACCATTTAAGACTGCAGAAACTTCTTTCCATAAAGACGCAATTATTTTTTTGCTACGACATGACAGATCCAGTCGCGGATTCCACAAAGCTTCACGCGCATGTACTTCCGAAATTAGTTGCTCTTCGAGTTGAAACAACTCGTCCTTTTCTGCGACACTCAATTTTTTTCTTATATTTTTTCTTTTATTCGTTACTGGGCTCTCTTGAACCGTGACTTCTTGATCATTAATCAAACTCCGCTTCACTATAGCTCCATCATCTACAAATTGTCACAAGATATTATGGGAATTGCCTTAAAAAGTATACTTATTTATTTACATTATTTTTTCATACCACACATGCGATAAAAGTAGAGTGAATTTTCATTCAAGTAATAGTTCGCATATCCGTAAAGACATTCATGTTCTGCGATATTATTTTGATCACATATGGTTTCACATAAACCACATGTCATAACTAAGTTCACGGACAGCTAAAACAAATTAATTACGATTGAGAACAATAAGAAAAGAACTATATTGTGTTATTTCACAATGCAGGATATTTTACATTATATATATGGGTCATTCTCCGTCAACCGGTGAGGCCGCCTACCCAAAATTGGTTTCAACGAAAGTAAACGAGTATGGGCTTAAAATTCATAAAAAAATAAGTGCTATCGAATGCCGTGTGCTGATTTTTACTATCCAAAATGGCTGATCCAATATGGCGGCCAAAAGTAGGATAAAAAATGTAAAATTTTTTTATTACAAAAAAAATACCTGTTGAGGGAGTATTTGGGTTCGATGATGACGAATCCGTCACCAGATTTTCAAAATTCAAAATGGCGGATTTAAAATGGCGGATGGAAAACGTAAAATTCAAATTTACTTGAACGAGTCTCATTACTCGGGGGGTTATGGAGGTCGCTGAATACAAATCCGGTACCAGATTTTCAAAATTCAAATTGGCGGATTCAAAATGGCGGATGGAAAACGTAAAA